TTCAAGGCCTACCACACATGCTTCATATTCAGCAGCATTGTTGGTAACGTCGAAATCAAGCTTTATTGAGATTGGGACGTGTTCTTCTTTAGGTGATACTAGTAGCACTCCGACGCCACATCCCTTTTGGTTTGAGGCTCCGTCGAAATACAAGGTCCAAGTATCATCTTTGGTGACCATCAAATCTTCCTCTTGAAATTCATTGTCCTGTATTGGTGTCGAGTCTTCTATTAGAAAGTCTGCCAGAATGTCTGACACCACAGATCCTTTAATAGCTTTTTGTGGCATAAACCGCACATCGAACTGAGCTAAGTTGACTATCCATCTTGAAATACGTCCATTGAGTGTTGATTTCTCGAACAAGTATTTGAGTGGATCCAGTCGAGATACCACGAAAACGGTATGCACCAACATGTAATGTCTTAACTTAGTTGTGGCCCATACCAAAGCGAGGCACAATTTCTCGAGTGGTGTATAGCGTGTTTCGTATTCGAGCATCTTCTTACTTAGGTAATAAATTGCATTCTCTTTGTTTTCTACCTCTTGTGCTAGCATGGCTCCCATTGTCTATTAGAAGCGACCAACAGAGTCTCAGGTTCGTTACCCAGCAGAGAGAAGTGGTGTCGGAGTACCAGAAATGGGTTCGGAAGTTGATTGGGTTTGACTTTGATATACAGTATAAACCAGGGATAGCCAACCGCGTGGCAGATGCTCTGTCCAGGCGCGGCGGGGTAGCCGGCGAGGCAGAATTGGGGGCCTTAGTGGCAGTTGAGGGGGTTAATTGGAATCAATTAGAGAGAGAAGTTCAGAGCAACGAATGGATACAAGGGCTGAGAACAGCAATTGAGAAGGGAGAAGGTGCGATTGGGTTTACCCTGGAAGGCAACCATGTACTGTACAAGGGACGGTTAGTGATACCCCCCAAATCAGAGACAAAGGGGTTGTTGCTACGGCTGTACCACGACTCACCGGAGGGCGGCCATGAAGGGGAAGCGAAGACTTATTTGAGAATAGAGAGAGAGTGGTTTTGGGTGGGAATGCGGCGCGATGTGGCATCGTATGTCAGAGAATGCGTGAGTTGTCAACGCAATAAACATTCACAACAAACGCCGGCGAGGCTTTTGCAACCCCTACCCATTCCGGAACGGGTTTGGGAAGACATCACCATGGATTTTATCGAAGGGCTTCCGAAATCGAAAGGGGTTGATACCATTTTAGTGGTGGTAGATCGCTTATCCAAGTACGCTCACTTCGTGGGGCTCAAGCACCCCTTCACGGCAGTAAGTGTGGCTGAGGTTTTTGCGAGGGAGATAGTCAAACTACACGGGGTCCCTAGTAGTATGGTGACTGATAGAGATCGAGTATTTGTCTGTGTGTTTTGGAAAGAATTATTTCACTTGCAAGGAACGGCACTCAAGCGTAGCACCTCCTACCATCCCCAAACGGATGGTCAATTGGAGGTAGTCAACAAGAGATTGGAGGTATACTTGCGGTGCTTTGCAGGGGATCAACCGAGAACATGGGCTAAGTGGTTCCATTGGGCCGAATATTCTTATAACACCTCCACTCACTCATCCACACAAATGGCTCCTTTTAAGGTTTTGTATGGCCGTGATCCACCACTCCTTATGAGGATGGGGCTCGGGCAGACTGCTGTGAGTACGGTGGAAGAGATGCTCCAAGAACGCGATGTGATGCTAGATGAGTTGAAGGTGAACTTAATGAGAGCTCAACAAGTCATGAAATCGAATGCGGATATGAAGAGACGAGAAGTAGAATTTCAAATCGGGGATAGAGTATTTCTAAAGCTACAACTGTATCGACAACGCTCTTTAGCCAAGAGGCCATTCGAGAAGTTACCAGCGCGCTTTTATGGGCCTTTTGAGGTCCTTCAACGGATAGGGAAGGTGGCTTATAAGCTGCTATTGCCGGAGGAATGTAGGATACATCCCGTGTTTCACGTCTCACAGCTGAAACAAGCACTTGGCAACGCACCTAGCTCTCCTACTATCCCTGCTCAACTCACACATGAGATGGAGTTAGTTGTGGAACCCGAACAGGTGTTGGACCAGAGTTCGAGGTCTACCAGAGTTCGAGGCCACATAGGAAGATGCGCACACCATCAATGAACAATTCCCGCACTTCCACCTTGAGGACAAGGTGGCTCTCTTGGGGGGGAGTATTGCAACACCTTCTCCACCACCACGCATCACCCTCACTTATCAGAGAAGGCAGAAGCAAACAGCAACAACAACATACCGTGGCCAAGACAAGCACAAGCAGAGAACCGTTGAAAAAGGACAGACAAGGCAGCTTTGGGAGTTTGTTTACATTATGATTAAAAAGAGAAGAAGACAAAAATAGTACTTTAGTAATTAAGGCCTTGTTTGCCAAGTTATTGCATTGTAGTAGTAATATATATAGTAGTAGTAAAGTAGTGGAAAGGCATCTAGAAAATTGAAGTGTATTTTGGAGAGTCATGGCCTAAAGCCATGGGCACCTTTTGTAAGCTTTAAGCATTAACAATCAAAACATCCAACCTTTCGCCCAGTACATTATCATTCTCACGCTAGTCCGTTGCACCAACCTTCGGATTTCATTGCTTCTTTAAAGGATTTTGGATCCTTTCCCAAAACAACGGCTGCAAGAAATTTGCGATAATTCACAGAAAACATATAACAATTTATATAGTGTGCCAAAGGATAAGGCATACCTGAAGGAGGGATTGAAGACGGAGTGGACGGAGATGGACTATTAGCAAAAACTGAGTGAGTCACATAATCACGATGCCGAACATTGGGAATTTTTTCCCGGAAACCACGACCCATTTGAATGTCATTAGAACCGACTTCAATAGAAGCCTCATTTGATGCTAGCCCATTAGTATCCTGATCAAAAATAGTGATAATGGGATGTTGAAGCTCTTGCGAAAACCCATCGGACGCTGAATTTCCATTAGTCCAGACAGTGGCATCATTGGGCTTCCCATGTGAAGGCCTAGCGGGCGCTTGATTTTCAAAGGGTAAGTCAGCAGCTTTGGAGCGCTGCTTTGCTGAAGGCCGAGCGTGAGATGGCCCTATTTGCGGATCCGCTGGGTTTGGGCTATCCACGAATTAGGCTTGTTGCTCACCCAAAATGCCGCCAACCCCATTGTCTTCTTCCAAACTCAATTTAGCAAAATCCTCATGAATTATTAGAGCATCAAACTCATTATGGGAAATATTCACAGCTTCTGGACTCTCAAAAGGAAAAACCTCTTCCACAAATTTCACATCCCTCGAGACAAAAAATTCTTTTGTAGTCAAATCAAATAACCTCCACCCCTTTTTACCAAACGGATATCCCACAAACACACACTTTCTACTACGACTAGCAAACTTGTCTCGCTTAGTTTTCTGATTATGAGCAAAGCATAAGCATCCAAAAGTACGAAGTGCATCAAATAAGGGAGGTTTATTGAACAAAATTTCAAATAGAGTTTTATTTTGTAGCAAGGGAGTGGGTGTACGATTAATTAGGTGAGCGGCGGCAAGAACACATTCCCCCCAAAAATAAATAGGCAAATTAGCTTGAAACCTCAAAGCTCTCCCAACTTCAAGAATGTGTTTGTGTTTTCTCTCAACCCTTCCATTCTGTTGTGGAGTCCCCACACAAGAGGTTTGAAAAATAATACCAGTAGCACTAAAATAATCATGCAAGCAATTAAATTCAGTGCCATTATCACTTTGCACCACCTTAATGGTTTGAGAAAATTGCCTATCAACCATTGCAATAAATGTTAAAAACATTCGAAAAACCTCAGTTTTATCAACCAACAAGTAAATCCAAATAGCTCGGGAATAATCATCAACAATAGTGAAAAAATAACGAGCTCCACACGAAGAGACATGTCGATACGGACCCCACAGATCACAATGTATTTTTTCAAAAATCCTAGAAGCTCTACCATCACTCAAAGGAAATTTATCTCTAGGATGTTTAGCACGCATACATACCTCACACCCTTTAGAAAGATTATGTTTATTGCCACTGACATGAGGAAGTAACTTAACCACTTTTTCGGAGGGATGACCCATTCGACGATGCCACAACTCCAAAGTCGACATTGCTTTGCCCACATCAACATGATTCACCGAATCTAAATTGCTAAAATAGTACAGTCCGTCTCTCCTAGCTCCCGTTCCAATCAACTCCTTCGTTTGATCCTGTACAACACACATATAAGAATTAAATTGGACAATACAACTAAGCTCGTCAGTGATTTGTGACACAGAAATCAAATTGCAACTCAAATTAGGAACATAAAGAACCCCCGTTAGGATGAGCTTGTCCGACAAACGGACAGAACCAATTAAAGAAGCCAATACGGTGTCACCATTGGGAAGACCAACTGGACACTCAAAACTCTGCGTATCAAACAACCAAGATTTGTCTCCGGTTACATGATGAGTTGCGCCTGTGTCAATAATGCATGAAGTAACGTCAAATTTTCCATTCAAACGATTGTTTGGAACATTAACATTACCAAACAATCCAGTAATTGCATTAACGTTAGAAACCGAATACTTCCCCCCTGGACGCAAAAATCCTCACGGCCATGATTGATAGGGGGTGATAAAAATAATGTTTCATCATCTCCGTTCATTGTATGGGTTTGTAAAGAAAAAAAAAATTAACCTGCTCTTGATACTATTTATGAGAATATGATAAATTGAAAAACTCAATCACTTGAATTACAATGATGATGGCCATGGCCAATAAATAATACATCGTTCCCAAACCCGATAGAATTAGGAAATAATCAAAGATATTATGCTAGGCATAAAAATATATACTAAGCATAAAAATGGAAACTAAATATATCCTAATAATTTCCCAAAATATATCCTCCAAAATATATCCTCCAATAATTATCATTTATAAATTTGCAAAGTATATATCAAGTTTTTTACCCTAACAATTGGTTAGCCAACTAATTTTTTTTTTTAATCTACGTACAGTATCAGGTCAATTATATGCCTTAACTTGCCAAGTTTCTCTGGTGGACTAAATCCTTGGGGCAAACCAAACAAGAACCGATCACGAGATGTTAGTCCATAACATGCTGCTTGAAATAGTGTCTTGATTTCTTGTCATGTTTATTTTTTTTCGCCCCATCCCCTGCATAGCCTCTTCCCCCTGTACAATTTTTGGGTGATTCTCATGATACTGCTGTGTTGAAACCTGGTGTGCAGAGAGGTTTTACTCATCCGTATGTTGATGATGGCCTTATTGAAGTTGTTGGCTTTAGAGATGCTTTGCAAGGGCTTGTTCTTCTAGCTCCAAATGGCCATGGGACTCGTCTTGCACAGGTAACTTACATACCAGAATGAGAATTCCTTGTTTGTGTTAGGATCATAGTGGCCAATTTGAGCATTATGTGTTTCAAAAAAGTTTTGCTTCTCTTTTTTGAATTCTAGTTCTATGTGGAAATCTTACTCCACTAATTGGGGGTAAATTGTGCACTTTCAGGCAAGACGAATCCGTTTTGAATTTCACAAAGGTGCTGCTGACCATACCTATATGAGGATCGATGGTGAACCTTGGAAACAGCCTCTACCGGTTGATGATAATGCTGTTGTGGTGGAGATCTCTCATCATGGCCAGGTGAACATGGTTGCCACCCATGATTGCCGTGCAAAAAGTATACATGATCCCTCTTCGGTGCATTATAGTGGGACTGAGGAAGACGATAATGAAGATGATTCACCAGCCTCTGAAGGTGAAGAGTGGAGCAAATTTGGTGCTGCAAGCACTTTCAAGATCCCAGATGAAGTTGACATATCACAGTTGAGTTAGGCCGCCATACTGAGTGACTGAGTGAGTATCTTCAGGTCTTTGTGTGCAAGCTCTCGACAGAATTATGTTTTCAGTAATATGTATTTTCCTTTCAAATTTCATCATTATATACTTAGGCCCCGTTTGGTTTAATGTAAAACATTTTCAATGGAAAATTAGTTTTCATGGAAAACATATTTTCAAGGAAAAACACAATTGCAAATTAGTTTTCCTTTGTTTGGTTGCATACAAAAAAAGTCCAAGAAAAATAATAAATAAGAGTGGAAATGTAAGGATGAATGAGAGGGAAGTAAAAAAAGAGGTAAGGAGGAGAGAGGAAAATGTGGCTTCCCTTATTTTTAGAAGGAAAATGTTTTCCATCGTTAAGGATGGAATTTTCCACCCTTGAAAAATTGTTTTCCACTCCTTAACAAACCAAACAAAGGAAAATGGGAAAAAATGGAAAATTCATTTTCCATGAAAACCTTTTACATCAAACCAAACAGGGCCTTAGATGCAACGATTGTTTTCCTCGAGCAAAGAATGATGTGTGCACTCATTATTCATTTTTCTTGTATGGAATTTACTTGATTATTGAACTACAATGGTGACAAATTTGGTTTACTTTTGCACCAGGCTTAGGAAAATTTCCAGATCTTAATTGAGTTTTACTTAAAGTAGGATTCTACACATCAACCCTAGTTCGTATAATATGTTTTATTAGAGTTTTTTTTTTACGTGTTTTTACCATCTTACTTGGATTAGATTTTTCATCTAATAAAGCATATTAGCAGAGGTGGGGGCAAACCGAAAGGAATGCTTAATCACTGTTGATATTCTCCACCAGTACGAAGCAGCATTCGGACAAAAAATCAATTATAAAAAATCGTGTCTTTCAGTAAGGGGGTTAAAGTGGAGCCGAAAGAAGAAATTCTAATCATCCTGTGTATGAAACAAGTGGATCGGCATGACAAGTATCTTGGCATTCCGAATATTTTAGGGAGATCAAAGAGGGGCACTTTTCGGGCTTTACTTGATCGTATCTGGAAGAAATTGCAAGTTTGGAAGGAGAAACTCTTATCTCAAGCCGGGAAGGAAGTTTTATTAAAGTCAGTAATACAAGCCATTCCCCCAATCTGATGGGAGTTTATAAATTTCCCAATGAAGTGATCCGGAAAATTCACTCGACAATGGCAAATTTTTGGTGGGGGAAAAGTGAAAATAAGAAGCGCATACATTGGCGTAGTTGGGACTCTCTTTGCACTCTTAAATGTTTAGGAGGAATGGGGTTCCGTGATTTAGCAGTTTTTAATGATGCTCTCCTTGGAAGACAAGCTTGGAGACTGGCAAGTAATCCAAATTGAAAGCTAAGTATTACCCCCACTCTGAGTTTCAGGATTCGTATTTGGGCTATGGAGGGAGTTACTCTTGGAAGAGTATTTGGGGTTCGAAAGATTTGGTGAAGGAAGGTGTGTTCTGGAAGGTGGGCAATGGTGAGAACATAAAAGTATGGTCTGACCCGTGGCTTCCTGATGATGATGGTCAATTTGCAACCAGTGTTCCTTCTGATTCTGTAGTCAAGGTGAGTGATTTGATCTGTTTTGAGAATTTGGAATGGAACCACAATCTGCTGTGTGAGCATTTTAATGACAGTGATGTTAAATGCATAGTGGCCATCCCTTTAAGCTCGAGACTTCCCCGGGATGAACTCACCTGGGCTTTCTCGAAAGATGGACTGTACACGGTAAAGTCTGCATACTTGATAGGAAAGGGGTGTGACTTGGAGAATTTTCACCGCACTTGGATCAATATTTGGAAAATGAAGGTCTGCCGAAAGCTCGCAATTTCTTATGGCGTTTTGGAACTGAAACGCAGCCTGTTTGTGGTTTGCTGAAGTACCGCCACCTTACTGAAGATGACTTGTGCCCCTGGTGTAATAACAATGTAGAGTCTTGGAGACACGCCTTTTTTTTATTGTGAGAGAGTTAAGGAGTTGTGGTGTGAACTAGGCTGTGAGGGGATGACAAAGCACGAAAATGTTGAAAGTGCTTGTGATCTATCTAATTGAGAGCTAGGGAAATTTGAAGGCTGAATTGGTGGTGCGTGGTGTATACTTGATGTGGGGAATCTGGCAAGACTATGGTCTTCCATAATCTGAGCACCCCCTCTCATCTTCTAATTGCTCGTGTGTTAAGGTGGGCAGACGAGAATGATAATATGCCAATGCAATTTACAAGTCTCCAGCAGCCCCTACTAAGACTAGTCCAAACAGATGGTCTCCTCCCCCAGAAGGCTTAATTAAATTAAATGCTGATGATTCTCTTGCTGCTGAAGGTTAGGTGGGTTTAGGTGTTGTTGCTCGTGATTCAAGGGGTAAGGTGATCTTTGCTGCAACAAAGAGAGTAAGAGCGTGCTGGCAGGTAGAAGTTGCAGAAGCAAAGGCCATTGATTATGCCATCAGACTGGGGTGCAAGTTTGGTTGCGAGGATGTAATTGTTGAAACAGATTGCCAAATTGCTGTTAACAGGCTGTCTATGGGAGCTGCACATCTCACAGAGCTGGACGCGATCTTGTGTGATGCAATATCACAGAGTGCAGCTTACAAGAGTCTTCAATGGGCACATGTGAAGCGTGACGGAAATACAGTGGCTCATAACTTAGCTAGCTATATCCCTTTTGATGTTGAGCAAATACTGGAAAATTGTGTGCCTTCTAATGTATCTCCCTATGTACTTATGGATACTTTGGCCATTTAATGATCAATCTTTACTCCCCTTTAAAAAAAAATAAAAAATAAATAAATAAATAAATAAATAAAAAAGCAGAGGTAGACCGTTGGAGTTTAGTACCTTTATTTATCAATGGACAACTTGTCCATAAGAACATACCGAAAAATTACAGAAGGGCAAAATTCTTGAATATTTTTTGGAAAGATTAATTAGCAAGTTCCCAATTTACATCTTCATTAACCCATTCCCACAAGCCATCCACATTTCAATGTACCTCCTAATCATGCCAAACACGATCACACGATAGGCAAATCTATGCCTACCAACATTGTGTTAACCTTGAGTCGGATCAATTCTATTACAGATAGCTATCTCTGACTCAAAATCAAATCGAGCAACTTGCAATCTCTCAAAATGATACGGAGAACAACACAAATTCAAGTTATTCATAGTTACGAGACATATAGTGGCCTGGATATGAAATCAGCAAATCTGAAATGAATTTTTTCGGTGTAGTTAAAATAATATACATGTAATTTTTTTCCTCTGTAGTTGAAACAAAAATACATGTATGTAATTACACTTACAAGCAACCTCATATAACTGAATCTAAACAAGAGCAGGGGATAATATAGACATGTATAACTCTCGAGCTCTCTCTACTAAGTTACTTGGAAACAAAAATATGGCCACTATAGGTGCAAATAATAATATTAGTACAAATTGACAGCAATGTAGTACAACGGCTTTGGTATGCTCCCAATCACTTTGTCATCGCCTCGTTAGCTTGCTGTACTTCTGCTCTCTCTCCTCTTTTCTTCTTCTCTCTGCAAGAATTACAAGAAACATAAACATTCAAATCAATCCGAATGATTTTCTCTTGATTCTGTAAGAAATATCTGGCTTGCAGAAAAGAATGCCATTGGTTTTGAGACTCTCACCTTTCCACATATTCCTTTAACAGCTCTTTCGCTTGTACAAGTTTTGATAGGAGGTTGCGATATACATCAAGATCCCGATCCACATTTTTCTTATTTACATTCAAGGCTGAGCAGAGCTGTTGTGCAATAAGTCAAATAAAACTATGAATGATTGGATTTGGCATTTGGTTCGCATAAGTTTCTCAAGTAACCATGCAAAGAATATAATTGAGAGAAAAGAAGAATAAAAGCATATTCTAAGAGGCGCAAGAGCTTTTGCGAATATCAACAAGATAACATCACCAGCGCCTATAGAAGTAACAGCCTGAACCAATATGCTTGCTCATGAATCATGAATAACGTGTTCCTTCAAGAAGGTTCATCAGCCAGTAATTCTTTGAAAAACTTCAATAGATTATATAATATCACCAAATGAGAGTAATAGATTTCAGGATCTAGATTGATTTATATTAAGAATTTCAGTGGCAACTAGACAATGGAGATAAAGATTTTCAGGCAAATCACAGTAGCCAAAACAAACTCAGTAGTATGATATGGTTAGAACCATAATTTATTCAGAGAGCCAATGAAACACAACAAGAATAACATTAAAAAAAGTTTGTAAACTGACCTTCTCTAAGACGGTGGGTTCAGAGGCATTAGCTAATTCAAGGAGACGAAACAAGCCAACTGCAAAGAATCGACTGTAACTAAAGCTCCCATTTCCACCAGCTCTTGCAGCAATATCCTTTAAGATGTCCTCTATTTCACCTTCTCTTGATGAGAAATCAACCAGTGAAGCAGATGTTTGGGTACGACCCCACTCCTCCAATTTCTGTGCATCTTTTCTAAAGGATAGAAGGTTGAACTGTCACTATTTGAATAACAATTCAAATGTTTGAAATTGGACCATTACTATCTAAATTACAGTTAAACGTATGTATAACATTCATAAGTCATCACACAAGGCAAAATTTCTGGACCTTGAATTCAACACAGGAATATATATATACTCATATGTACTCAAACAGGTCATGCAATAGTTCAGCCCTTGTGAAAAGGGATACTGACAATATCACACAGTTTGACACAGAGGCTTTAATGTACTGAACCTGCCATTTTACAATAATTTTCCCCTCTAATTGTAGCTCCACATACAAAGGCAAAGAAGAAAGCGGGGTAAATGGGTACCTTTTTACACACGTGAAAGTATACTTAAATAAAAGTGAGGGAAGTGTGTCCCATAGGATGGACAAACTAAAGCTAAAATGGTAATATTTTCTGCACAAATAGAAATAAAGCACAAGAAGAAAGAATTCAATGGAAATTATTTTTTTTTTTTTTTTTTTTTGAAGGGGAAATGGAAATTACTTAAAAGGAAAGAGCAAAGAACTTTGGGGAATGGGAACAAAGAATAAAAAGCCCAATTCATATTAAGGGTGAGTATACTACCTTAACTGCTCCATGAAAACATAAAGAAAGATGTAACTTCCAAAGATACCTAGACATTTGAATGGATAAGCAGGAAACGAACTACTTGAGTGACTTGAAAAATGAACATATAAGGATGATATGGGAAAGCCAGAAATACATGAACTTGCGACAGGACACTTAAATCATTAAATGTAAAACATGTAGGAAAGCTACACCGAGGTCACAGACATAATTATGAAAAGGAAGTACCTAAAACAAAAGATAGAAAATAAATGTAAAAAAATTCAAAGGCAAATGTTCTATAATCTACCTTTGTTATAATGTAAACAGTGGCATGCGTTGAAAATACATCTCCTTAACTCGTTCAAATTATGTGCTTATGCAAGTGAGCAGCATAGAAACTTTAATTCTTATCACCTAAACCTCTAGTAGGGGGACATGCTTTTTGCTAGTGGGAGTCAACTTCACTTCCAAATTTTCAATTTCACTTTATAATCCAAGAACATGACAAGTAATTGCAACCAACACAAACCTGTACTGCTCGGGATCCTCATTTAGTGCCCTTATGTAAGCTTCAAAGATGGCACTTCGATCTTCATCACTGGGATACCCCTCCATCAGCTGATCATAGACAGTAACAAAACCAAGGGCAAACACAGGATCATATCTGTATGTCCTCTTGTATCTCATCAAATGTTGCTGAACAATCAACTCTTGTAGCACATTGTTGTAGATACTAGGAATTGGCCGTTTGTAAACCTTTAGAAAATTTAACTTCGTCTCGGATACTGGGGGGGTTTCTGAAAGTATATACAAATAAAAATATTATTAAACTGATAATAATAATAAAAAGTCCTTTTCTCATTCTTCCCTTGACAAGCGTGTAAAAGAAGGAAAATGAGTTAAAACTTATTTACCTTTACAGTAACTAAACGAACTACCAATATGATACAATAACCAAATAGAGTAAAGTGACCAAAAAATAGCAATACAGATTTTTTTTAAAAAAAGCAATTATTCTATCTCTTACCGGCCCCATAAAAGCATACATGGCATACTTTCTACTTGTTATGAAGTGAGGAAAGAGAGTTCATGCTAGGAGTGTCTAAACACGGTCGTGCAATGCATGCTTGCCTATTTGTCAGCAAGGGTGCATGCTTTGTCTGTTAAGGGGCTCATGTGCACCTAGTGACCGAAGTGTTTGATTATAGAAGGGACATTCATTCCTTTTGAGAACAAGGGTTGATGATAGAAGGATTTTTTTGTCAGAAATTACCAATTAAAAGACATTTTTTTATGAGAAACTACCTAATAGAAATAATGTTTAAGACTCTAGTGAGTTTATAATGTTTCAAAACAAGTGATGATACAACATCTATATTGGACTAAAACACAACACAAGTGCCAAAGAAAGGCAGCACAAGGTAACCATCTTTGATTTCACATCCACTGATAATTACATAATTCACTACCTAACGAGATTTATCTTGGAAATACACACTAGATTGACAGAAATATCATGATTGAATATAAAGCATTGAAAATCTAAAGAAAAGTCCTAAAAAGCATTTATGGAAAATACAAGTCATGGAAGGTTGGTCCTAACACTATGGCTAAGCTACGTCAAACTTTAAACAAGGAGCAGTCTATAGCTCTTTCCATTCGTATAGATGCTAATACTTATACAACTATACTCTTAATATACGTTCTCCCTATATGAACAAACTCAGTAAATAAATTCAGTACACATTGTCAACTAAGAAGCCACACTGGAATGGAATTTGTCTTTCCACAAAATATTAGGAGTGACTGTTCATCAATTATATTAACACTTTGTTTGAATTGAAGGAAATAAAGGGAAAGGAAGGAAAGGGAATTGGAAGGATGGATTATCTTTAATTTAGATAATAAATTCGGAAGGAAGGGGATTGGAGGGGAGAGAAATGGAGGGATTTAAGAAATTGATCTCTCCAACGATGGAGAGATTTGGAAGGACAACTCATCTTTTTCCCTCCCCTTCACCTCCCTCCCCTTCTTTTCTTTCCTATTTCCTTATCCAAACACACCGTAGTTTATCAAATATTCTTTTTTGTTTTCCTCTTATTAAGAGTTAATAGACATAAATTTAGGAATTAGTGACTATTATAAAATCAAACATTATACTTGAAAAAAATGTGAAATAGAATTTGACACAAAGATGAGGCAGAGGAAGGAAACTTAGACAACACAGGCATAATTCATCCAGAACTCACAACTGCTAAAAGGCATACATAGCAACAAAAACAACATAGTGATTCGTTCCAAACTTCCAACTCTAGTAGAGTTAAAAAAATTGTTCACATATAATCTTTTCCTAGTTTTAACCAAAAGACTCAAGTCATACTTGCCAGGGACTGCCATTTGGTTCATTTACTCTCTAAACTAAAAACCAGAAATTCATAATTCACATTATCCTATCTAAAACCTAACCACAACATATAACTTTACCAACCAACAATATTTGGTCTTCATTTTCCCATTATTCTTCTAATAATATGTAAATTAGACATTCAACTTCTATCGAGTGCAATTCTTATCAGCACCTCTCATCTTCAGTTCTTCACCATAGATAAGCAACAAACAATTGGGTTAAAGTCTTAGTTCATGCTTGGAGTAAGGCCAATACAAAAAATTAGGTTAAAATCTTAGTTCGTGCTTGGATTAAGACCAATATATATGATTGGGTTAAAATGTTAAAGTCGTAGTGTTTAACCAAGAAAATTGAATGTAAATAAAAAAGATGCTTAAGAGGATGCGGTGATGTTTAAGAAAAGATGTAAGTGGTAGTTACCCACCAGTATACTAGGATGAGGTCAATGGCGTCCTCTCCCCCTTATCATCATTATCTCAATTTCCTTGCAATCACGCTATTACTACCTCATTTTTCCTCACAATTACCTAAATATATCTTCATTTTCACTAGTTTGAATTTATTACCCGTTAATACACTACGCCCATTCAAAGAATGCCCTTAGGACTTTAGGAGTGATAATCAGTCTACCTCGCATCAAAGCCCCAAGCAAAAGTGGCTCCCTATATACTATAAAATCTTCTTGCTCCATTTTTTTTATAACTGCAACAATTGAAGTTTCGAGCATGCCAATGCACAACTTTAAATTATGCAATGCTAATGTTTAGAAAATACAAAATGAGACTAATCCAACCACATTTCATAACTTATTAATTTTTTAAACTACAATAATAAAAATAAACAAGTACATAAATTTCGTGGTCAAACAAATTATTGCAAAAGTCTAATAGTTATGCTTATTAAAAGACTTATATACAAAAATCTCCAACAAAATAGCCTTACTTTACTAATGTCAGCACAAATTATGACAAAACACTCATCAAATTCAACAACACTAAAATACAACTTAACCATCAATTCACGCTCCACTACACTAAAAGACAATTCAATTGAACTTCAATAAAGAAAAAGCATTGCATAAGTCAATACCAGTAACAGCAGAGGTAGATGACATGCACTGAACAGCAAAACCAGAAGAAGAATTCGAAGCTCTAACAGCAGCAGAAAGATCAGAAGATGAATTAGAGCGCAGACGAATTGATTCGAAAGTAGATGCAAAAGTTCGAGTCGAAGTAATGCTCAATTTTCTCTCAAATGACTGAGATAATGCGGAGAAAGACAACGATGTTACAGCCGCCATTGGAGATGAAACCCAAGCTTAATTATCAGAGAGTATTGAGTTGACGATGAGAGAGATTGGGAATTTTTTTGGGGTTGAATTTAAGCAGAGGTTTTCGCCATTGATGAAGAGGTAGTGAAAGGTTTTGTTTGTATATTTTGTGTTGTGTTAGATGTAAAAGACGAGAGAAGAGAGGCTGAAAATTGAACAAGTTGATTTTATCCGACTTTATCAAATCAAATATTTGTCATCCTTCTAATAAGCCATTAGGAACTTGCCACGTGGTTTCTGTTTGTTGATGATATTGAGCTTTCAATAATGAAAAAAAGTTTTCTGAATGACTATTATCCCATGTATTATCTAGAATACTTTAGAGTTGGGTATTTGATCTTATCCGTTGATAGAACCATACGTAATGTACATGTATATATATTCCGTACCAGATGGAATATTAAATACAACGTAACAATCTTCCATCATCTCTCTACATTTTCTCTTTCATATTTAACACGTTATCAGCACCATTGCTAGTCAACTGAGTAGGATTACCGAACATTTATCTAGAATCGCATATTATTATTATCATGTAAGTATGATTGCAAGCCATAATAATTATAATTTAACTTTTATCTACTTTTAACGAATACAGAGCATGATATATAATTTAAGGTTCCATTCTTTTTTTTCTCCATGCTAACGTTCTCATCTTCTATTTCGTTCTTATTTATGCATGATTTAGATCAGGTTTATTTATGCATGATTATAACGTTTAGTACATATTTTGGATACCATATATATATACTTATCTTGTAGGAAATTTGCAAATTAAAGCCATTTAAAGTTCGTATTTTGTAAATTGCAGCCATTTAAAAAAATTTGCAAATTGCAGCCTAAAAATTCATATAAATTGTAAATTGCAGCTCGATTTAACTTTTTTATCGGTTTACAAGTTGAAAAATTTTCGATTAAGGTTTTAGGGGTCATTTTAGCCCTTATGTTTCAATTAAATAAAGAGAAGGAAAGAAATATATAGAATATAGAATTCGAATAGAGTAGGAATTCTCTTATCCCATTCGGAAGGACCTCATTTCATAATTATCCATGACTGTTTATGTCTCTAGCACGACCACTTGATGAAATGTGGAGGGAAGTGGGGTAAATGGCCGATACTACTGGACGAATTCCTCTTTGGATAATAGCAACTGTAGCTGGTATTCTTGTGATCGGTTTACTAGGTATTTTCTTTTATGGGTCCGAATTGAGGTCGGAATCAGCAAAAAAATAACGCAAGTATCTTGTTTTGCGTAACAAAAATGTATCGATTTGTGGGAAACTGTAAATATCAGACACTTACGTTAGTTTTTTCTAATTCCGAGCTCAATTTGGGTCCTTAAGGGCTAAAATGACCCCTAAAACCTTGACCGAAGATTTTTCAACATGTAAACCGATGAAAAAATTGAATAGGGCTGCAATTTACAATTTATACAAACTTTTAAGCTGCAATTTGCAAAAAAAAATAAATAAATAAATAAATGGTTGCAATTTGCAAAATATGAATTTTAAATGGCTGCAATTTGCAAATTTTCCTATCTTTTAATATTATTTTGTATAGTGAAAAATGTCGAACCTTGCCAAGCTTGAATTTGTGGCCCTTGATATTACCGGAAAGAATTATTTATCATGGGTGTTAGATGCTGAAATACACCTAGATGCTAAAGGGCTTGGTCAAACATTCAAAGAGGCTAATAAGGCAACACCTCAAGATAAGGCTAAAGCCATGATTTTCTGTTAGTTGAGACGATTAATACAAGAGGGGGGTGAATTGTATAGATTTCCTAATGACTACTTTTTGCGGATAAATAAACAAAGCGAATAGGAACTTAATAAAGCACACAGATTTTACGAGGAAACCTTCCAGGGCCTAACTGGAAGTAAAACCTCGACCCTACCTTAGGGAATTCAAACACAAAACACTTCACTATAATAGGGCAAACACCAAGTTACAACCTATTAGACACACACCTTTATTTCACAAGTTCCTCACTGGACTTGTTACTTGATAGGACCCTATCCTACCCAATCTAAGCACCACACCTAGATTCACACGTACCACCAAAGTACTACACGTACCGCCAAAGTACAACTACTCGTACCACCCTAGTACAAAATTCACAACCTCACCAAGAAGCTAACACAAAACTGTATGTAACACAAACTATAAATTTCACCCAAATAACCCAACCAAAACAAATACAAGACGCCTATTATGATAGGTAAGCAATGCACGAAATCCGAAACTATTATGATAAGTTAAAAGCTTGGTAAACTTACTCAATTAAAGCACTGTGATTTCTCCACGCATAAACTCACAAAAAACCTAAATCATTTTGTTCTCTACTATTTATACAAGTAACACTTGTATAGAAAGTAGGTTTTCTAAAATGATAAATATGTTAACTTAACCTATCTTTTAAACACGGTTTTAGCAAATCAAGTGGAATAAAATCTTTTCCGAAAATAAGTATAAAAAGATATTTATTAAAAAGACTTATCTTTTTAACAAATCGACTTTAGAGAAAATAATCTTTTTAGAAAATCTTTTCCTAAAATCTATCTTTTATTATTTTCCATATTTATTTTATTTACCAAGCAAACTTATCACATTTCTAATAAATTTCGTGCACTAACCTACTTACCATATTAACAATAATTTTTAAGATAAAACCTTAACTATTATTGCTGCGACGCACTTTGATCAGATGAATTACTTAGGCTCCAAGCATATCAAGTTCCACCAAAGAACTTAACTGCTAGTCTTCAAGTTCCTGGTAGGGAACGTTCCTGTAGGGAACTTAGTTCTTGTTAGAGAACTCTTCCTCTGATTTGTTTAACTTCTTCAATAAAGATCTTCTTAAAGTCTTCTTAGTTTCAGATGGTTCTTCAATCACCAAGATCAATCTGCACCTTGACTAATCACACACTAGAGAATCTTTATTAGTCGAGTTTGCTTTTAGTTCAAGTTCCTCATCATCAAAACCATTATGTTTCAACAATTTCCCCCTTTTTGATGATGACAAACTTAGCAAACTCTAAAACAAGTTAAACAAAATAGAAGGATGTATTTTTGATTTTTTTTTATTGACAAAAAATAAACACGCACATAACAAAAATAGACTTTAAATAAGCAAAAACAGAAATAAACTAAGAACTAAACTACTCCAACATCATATTAGAGAGATTTCTGATACTTTATTAACTAGAACCCAGAACAACTATAGCCTCCAATTTTGCTTCTTCTTTTCCCCCTTTTGGCATTATCAAAAAGTCTTGTTTTTCAAGTTAATAAGCATCTAGCCACAGCCCCACAAGCAATTCATCGAGTGTAGGAAACTGAAGGCAGCGCTGCTAAGCAGCCTCAAGCAAGTTCTACCTTTCTGCATAAGTGTTCAATACATACATAAACACACAAGTATAAGCAAAGTTCCAACTAATAATCATTGAAAACCAAAAGATTTATCATCCAGTTGAACAATTTTAGGAAATTTACAATCAAAATTAATTGTTCAAACACTAAAAACAGAAATTAAAGTTGTTCATGACTGAGATAGAGAAAATAGGCTAGGCTAAATATAGATTGAAAAGGAAAAGGGTAGGCTAGGTTTCAAGAAACTCCAGAATTTTCTTGTAGTCTTCCTTTGTCTGTTGTGCAGAAGCTTTCAGATTATCTTCAAGACTCTTGAGTTTCACCAGGACCTCCTCCTTTTGTTCCTGTAGAGCCTTGTTCAGTTCTTGCTCTTGAAACTTCTTTTGCTCTTGAAGTTCCTTGTCCTGTTTTAGCACCAGCTTCTTGAGTTCCTTTAACTCCTTCCCCTGCTCCTGCACCAGCCTTTCCAAGGTTAGCATTTGAAGTTTTCCAGCAGAATCCTTCATCTGATTCTCAACCCTTTCCATCATGTCTTCCAGTTCTGCAACTTGCCCATTGAGGAGAGTGTCCTCAACATCCAACTCCAGAGGCTATTCCATGCTTGTTTGAGGAACTGAACTGGCAGAGATCCTTCCGCTCTTCCTTACATGCTTCTCAGACACAGCCTTTTCCTTCCTCTTCCTAGTCACTTTCTCTTTCTTTTTCTCTCCCTTCTCTATTTTTTGAATTTTTCCTTTCACAACCTCCAAACTCAGTCCAGCCAGTGTTTCCTCATTTATCACATTTTTAGGCTTCTCATCCAAAGCACCATACTTACCCTTTAGAACCACTCCAGCATTCTCAAACACAGTAGACAAAATGGCTCCATACCCCACTTTTGTACTACTAGGAACAAAGTGTGCTAAATGCTGGTACATCAATGCAGGAAAGTTGACTTTAATTTTCTTGGATAAACAGAAAATTACATCCATATCCATCAGACATGCTTCTCCTTTCTGAGCAGTTCTAGGCAAAATGGTTTTCTTCACAAGATTAAACAACAATTTGTTCAAAGGGCTTAGATCATTGTAACTCATGACCTTCTTCCCCCTTTGACCACCTAAGGCCTCAACAATGTCGCCAGTCAAATAGTTACCTACTTTGACACTTCCCTTTCCTTTGATATAAGACTCATACCCCTCAGTAGGTGTTTTCAGAATTTTACCTAGGGTTTCAATATTTAATTCAATTTTTACCCCATCAACAACACTCGAAATTACCCCTAATTTTGCTTGAAAATTTAGACAAAACTCCGTCATAGCAACAGGGTACAGATAATTTGCTGAAACTCTTGATAGCAAGAATTCCCAGCCTTGGAACTTAATTAAATCAAGAAATTCTAAAAACCTTGCTTTCCTACACCAAACTAGATCAATGCGGTGTCCTACGACATACCTCCCTGCTTGTGAGTCGAGTTCTGTTTGATCAGTCACCTCCTCTTCTTCATCTTCCTTTTCAGATTCTTCCTTTTCTGAATTGTTCTGATCTTCTTTATCTCCTTCTCCCTCATTCACCTCTTCTTCCTCTTCGTTCTCCTCTTTTGTTTCTTCTGAATTTTTTCCTTGAGCAAAATCGTCAACTTCCTCGATTTGCTCCTCAAGAGACTTCCCGCTTTGTTTCTTCTCTTTCCACTCTTTTAGCCGTTGAAGAATACTTGAGACAGAGGATTCTCCTTGATCACTCTTACTTTCGACTTCTTTAGGTTTTGGAGGTGAGTTTTTAGGGTTTTCAGGAGTTTTG